TATATTTTAATCGAAATTGTTAAAATGAATCAGTCTTCGCTCTGTTATCTAGCTTATAGAAAACAGAAGAAATAGAGGTATAATAATAAAAACAATAAAGTAAGATTCAAGCATATTTCAATGTTACATTTTAATAGAAACTAAGTGATCGGCCTGCACCATGTGCAGGCTATAAAATATTTTATATGTTCAATTATGATTAATATGAAATTGAAGATGTTTTATTTGTATATGATTAATTATGTATTAATAATAAAATAATAAACATTTAATAATAAATAATAACGATCAATTAAATAGAAATATTATACACATCAATAGAAAATAAAGATAAAAATATTAATTAAGATTTTAAAAATATTTCTTTGGATAATACAATGTAAATATGACAACTAAATAATAAAGGAAAATATTAAAATATATAATAATTTATTTAATTTTTATTTCTGGTCCGCACACATGTGCAAGTATAATTTTTTTTATAAACATAATTAGTTGTAATATTTAAGTATTGATTATTTTTTATATATTATGTAAATGTTATGTTCTATACATATACAATTTTAGTATTTAACAACAATTACACAAATGTTTCATATCGTTTTGTGTCTTTTGAAAACTTTTTATTCTTCCTAGAGTTTACAGTAAAATTGCAAATATAAAAGTTATATTAAATAATAATTTAATTCTTAATACTTTCTTTTTCTCTTTACATAATATAATCTTGCCAATATATATTTTAAGTACACATTTTTCCTTGACCTATTGCTAATTAAACCAAAATGAATTCTACCATATTTATTTATCCTAAGAGCGGGTAGATGGTTGGCTCGCACATTCGTGCACACTAACAACCTCACCGCTCTTAGGACATATAAATATTTTTTTTTAAAATATAAATTCTCTAACAACTAAAATTAAAACTAGAGTGTAATTGAGGTTAACAAAATGTATGCACGACAAGTTTGCATTCGAGTTTGATTTTTGCACAATTAATATTTATATTTATACACATATTTGTTAGAAAATCGAAGTGTGACTTTTATGTTTTTTTTAAAAAGTATATGTTTTGTAATATATATTTTTATAATGAATAGTAAGTATATTGATGCATGTAGGTATGAGTTAGAAATAAGTGAATTGTAATATTAAGATGTTGATAAGTTTTTTCTGGTATTTTTTACAAATGTTATGTTTTTATACGGTTCAGTTATTGCCATTTAACAACAATCATGAAAACCGTTTCTATCGTTTTGTATTTAATCAAAGTTTCTTATTTTGCAGCGTTTGATAATATTTGGTTTCTCAATCAAAATATAATAAAAATTTATTATAAAATTTGTGAAATCATATTTTATAAAAATTCTCTGGTATCTTTTCGCTTATCTCTTCGTCAAACTTTTTATAATCCACAATCGATCGCTTCCACAAACTCGTTGTAACCGAATCGCTTAAACCAATCAGATCTAAACTTATATGTGTATGATTTAAAGTGTAAAATAATATATTTAATATTTAATTGTTATTAAAAATTAAGAGTTGATCTGTTCCTAACTTTAATATATTTGTTAATATAAAATATAATGGATCACAACATATACAAAACTTGATTCATGAAATAATGTTTAATATGTTAGAAAAAATATATTCATGAAAGAATTAATATGTGAAATATAATATTTTGAAATATTTCAAATAAAAACTTAAAATCGATCAAAATTATTCTTATTTTTTTTCTCTTCTTTGACTCATATTTTTTTTCTTAACATTTAATAATATATTAAATATTAAGATCATCTCTAATGTATTTTTCAATTTTTTTCTCTAAAATATAAGTGGATGTTTCTCTAACATATTTCAATTTTACAGGGGAATTATTTTTTTATTTTTTCCTCTATATTTGGAGGAAAAAATGACAACCTTTCTTTTTCCTTTAAATTAAAAGATTTAATGTAAAAGTGGGTTAAAAATACTTTAAACCCAAAATTATAGCATAAAAGTTTTACATAAAACCAAAGTCGTAGATTCATTTTTACTTTTATTTCTACTTTTTATTCATATATACAGTATTATGATAAAAAAAGTTAGCTAACAGGATACTTCAAATTTCTTTTTTTATTTGTTTATTTTATTGTTTCATTTATAATTTTGAATTATTGCTTTATAATGAGAATTCATTCATATATGATATAAATTTTTCTTATTTAAAAATGAGATTTATTTAGTTTTAACTTAACTAATCAAATATTTTGTTTATTTTAGAAAATTTGTCATGTCACATTTATGAGGTGACATTGTTTTGCACTAACTTTTGCTAAAGTGATGACACATCAGATCTTTTTATTAAACATGCTTCTCAAATAATACTTAAAATGGCAATGTATTTTACTAAAGATTTTGTATACCAACGTAATTCAATGATAATAGAAGTATGTTTTGTTGAAAGAATCAAAGGGGGTGTATTAAAAATAAAATTTTAGAAGACTTTGTGGTTATTTTAAAATTCCATGTTATGATTCCTAAATGTTTTATCAAAATCTATGTTATTGAACATGAAATTTATATAAAACCAATTAAAATCACTTGAACATCCATGTTCTTAAATCAAGAATTTGTTAAAACTAAATCAAATCCACTGTTATTGTAAATATTTTAAATAGTGAATTTTACAATATATTGAGTACTTTTAAATCATTGGTGGAGTTTGTTAGTTAAAAATATAGAAAACCAAATCTCATTGTTTTAGATAGGATTTCATATAATTTTAATATCAAATCATATCAACTTTTCTAATCCACATAAAATCATCTAAAATTTTATTAAAACTCAAATCTTTTCAAATTCTCTAAAATTTTAGTTTCAATACATTTTCATATTTGAACTTTTCTCTAACTTCCAGTTACCTCCTAAAATTCTATAATTTTTCTTTCACTATTAAAATAAGTTCCATAAAAATCGGTGTTGAAGATCCACAAAATACGATTACAATCTTACAAAATCTTTTAAACATATATCTTTCGAAATATTTCAACAATCGTATTTGTATTTCACTACTAAGCAAATTTGCTTCCCTCGTCTCTTTCTTTTTCGTTTAGTTGATAGAGATGAATCAACCACGTGTGCTTTCTACATTGTAACATTTACGTTTTGTAACATTTACGTTTAGGATTTATTGGTTTTTTTTTGTATATGATCTAATCATATTTCAAGACATATTTGGAGATAATATATAATTCAAGTGCTTCATCCCAATTTATTTATTCATTCGAAGGAGACAATAAAAAATCTCCAGGGAAATGTCTGAGATTACTATTGAAGATTCTGGTATGCATCTGTAGTTAGTATATTCATTTTCACTTAGTTCTTTAACTGTTTATTTTCTTTGATATATGTGTGTTTTTATTCCATTTTGTTTGTTAAATTACTATGATCAATGCTCCCTGATGATAAAATGTATGGGACATATACATGGATGGTTCAAAAATTTTCAGCAACAACCAAGCGTGAGTACCGTAGCAATACTTTTGAAGTAATTGGCCACGAATGGTAATTGACACTTTTTCTCATCCCGAGACATTGTCTATTTTAAAACCGTCTAAATCTTCGATATTTTAGCCAGAAAACAATGAAAAATATTATTAAAAAAAAATGAAAGAAAACTTGGTACAGTAAGGTTTCCATTGTGTAGCCAAGGAAGAGAAGAATAATTTAGACAAAGTTATGCTAGTTTCCTCGATTTAATTTAAAATTAGCCAAACATTTTATTAGACAAAAAAATCGAAAAAATTCATCAGGAAAAAGGTGGAATTGTTTTCCACAGAATTCTCACCAACCCAAAATATGATTATTATATAAAACATATAACACTAAATTGGTAAAAAAATATTTTATAAAAATAATAAATAATTAAAAAAAGAATAACTATTTGGTACTCTACACAATAACTGATCCATGACGAAACAATTTAAAAAATAATTTTTGAAAGAACTCATTTGACAATTTTATTATGAAACATGGTTTCAGTCTGCTGTTAATCTGCCAATAATTTACAATTAGTCTAGCATTAGTCTGTCAGTAGTTTACATTCAATTATTTGACCAAACAGTGTGTCAGTAGTCTGCATTCAATCTGCCGTTTGACTGTCATTAGTCTAAAAATAACAATAGTTAGAAGAATTGCGCTGATATTTATAAAAATCGTAAAAATGGTCATTTTCATAATTTTCCCTGAATGAGATACCAATTTTACATTATTTTATTCTGAGTCATTTTAGAGTATTTTCTCAACCAAATTTATATATAATTTTCATACAACTCATATCCAATGCAAAAACATATAAGCGAACTATTCTACTCTTTCCTTACAAACCTTTAAAGACACAAATTTCTGATCGAACGCTCTGAAGAAATACCATTCTTGGATCAATTTTGAAAACACTGTAAAACACAGCACAACAGAAGCATGAGAGAAAAATCAAACTAGACATGATAAAACTGAACTCAAAACTTGAATTACACACAACAACAAACTTCGTGTGTTGAAACACAAGCAAACTAAAGTGGTGCATAAGTTAGCAAGAAATCCTATGAGAATCTGAAATACACCGGGAGACAAAAAAAAATGAAACCAAATAAACGCAGAACAAAAAGCTTCAATTCCGGAAACACAAGAAAACCAAACTACAAGATGGCAACAAACTTATTAAAAAATATTTAAAATTAAAGTGTAGATTTTTGTTCACTTAATAAATCGATTGGATGGAACTATTACATAATGTTACAACCTGAAGCTGAAACACTAGAAAATGAATCGAAGCCAATAAAAGTTAAATATTTCTTTCATAATTGTGTTAGAGCATGTCTATCGGCGTATGTAGAAGAGTTGTAAGAAGGGGTTTTTAGTTAAAAGTGATTAAAAGAAATCATTTAAGTATAATTTTGGTTAGAGACGTCTCTTATTCAAAGCATTTCAGGAATGCTTAGAAATTCATATGTGTCACTTTCTTATTGCAGATATTTATATAAAAAAAAATTAACAAAAATAAAGAGAAAATTGAACGACGGAGTGATCGAGAGACCACATTCTCTCTTCTCCGACTCTCAAGGGGACTTTATATGGCGGCTCTCGAGGGGAGCAAAAGTGATCAGTGGCAGCTCAGTTCGCTCAATCCCGCCTCCAAATCTCGCAGCAGTTTTCAAGATGTCTCCGCGAATTCAAACCCTGCCGGAAATTATGGATCAGAGACCGGCGAGCAGGATTTCCCGGAGAAGAATTGTCCATGTGGAGTTGGTCTCTCCTTGATCCTCACATCAAACACTCAGAAGAATCCAGGCCGAAGATTCTACAAATGCCCCATTGGAGAGGTACGTAATGGATCCTTCTTTACAGAAATTGTGGGATTCCAGAAATTGGCTTTGACTTCTACCGCATTAGTGTTACTCATTCTGCTTCCTAGGTGTTTGATAAAATGCCAGTAAGAATAGTTTCATTCACTGAATAAGATTGCACGATGGCTTGGCTTGTTGTTACTTATGCTTACTTGTTATTAGGATTGATAAATCTACAATATCACCAGGAAAACGGAGGTTATGGGTTTTTTCAGTGGTGTGATGCGGTTCTGTCCGTCCAGAACTCAGCCAAGAGGAACTAGTCATAGTTATGGGAACACTAACGAATCCAAGATCCCGGATCAATAGCTTTTTTTTTGTTGAAATGATGGAAACAGAGGGACAACTTGACATACAACTATATTAGCTTAAAATAATACGAGTTTGCAGATTCTTTTAGTGCCAAGAACAATCACCCGGATATCAGTGAAAATTTAATGTAGTATCTTGCTTAGTTCTGATTGTCTGTGTAATAATATGGCCTCCTCTCAATCTCAGGGCTCGTGTGGTTTCTTCAAATGGTGCAACGTTGTTTCAGTCAGCTCTCCTACAACGTATATTGAGCATCTGTCTTTCATGGGGGACGTAGTCCAAACAAGCAGGTTTGCTTTATTACCTTAAAAACTTGAGAGTGATGTTATGATAGATTCATAGCAAAAATCATAACTTTAAACTTTTATAGTTGCATAATAATTTGTATGTTTCAAATTTCTTTAAATGCAATATATTTAAGTTTTATTAATTATATTTTGTTTACAATAAAATAATTTAATAATATAAGTTTTTTTTTAAGAAACCTATACAAGTCTCTACCGATGGAAGAGCAGAAAAATTGAATCAAATATAAGGGTTTTTAAAAGAAAAAAGAAGAAAAATTTATATTAAAAAATGTCTAAGAAACCTATATAGTCTCTACCGATGGAGATGGTCTTATAATAATGAAACCGTGAAGAAGCCCATGCCACAAGAATCTCAAATATATATTGCCGTTCCCGTTTCTAGAAATTTCCCTGTCCTCGTACCCGTTTTAAAGCTACTAACTCTTTGATATTTTAATGCTTTTTTATTATTATATGACGGATATATATTAGTTTATCCAGAAGGGTGTGATGTTTCCAACAATCTCTCTTTGTTTCTCTGTGTTGCAAACCCTAAAAAAATTTCTTCCAGGTTATCGTATTATATATTGTATTCATCTGCAAACCTTTAAATAATTTATCATTTAGGTTTAACTCATTTTGAAACAGGTTGGAGCCATTTTGCCCAGCCTACTATAACTGTGATAAATAAAGATCCAAAGAAATCAAAGCATTCAAGTTATCTTTTTTTTTTTTTTTTGCATATTTTACTTTTCCTTTAATATCCATTACCTTTGACAAACTACATAGATTCTTCTTGCAGATGCATTACATCGGTTTTGGAAGAAAGAGCATGATTGGGGATGGAAAAAGTATATGGAATTACCTGAGTTACATTACGGTTTCTTAGATGACTATGGCTCTCTTACAGTACAGGAGGGAACTTCTTAAAGTTTATTAAATAGAGTAAAGAAAATTTTCTTGATGTCTATGGAACAGATGAGAAGCGAGTTGATGACGGGCAAGGTAAATATTTTTCCATTGTTTATAAATAATTTCTCGATAACGTTTTTAATTTCCCTATATAACAAGGAATGGATCTTGTTAATTTCTGCTGCAGCATATGCGCTTTTTGGTTAGGGATGAAACAAAATTCAAGACGAAAGATGTCTCGAGAGAAAAAGGATGTGATTCTAAAACTAGTTGTGAAATCTTTCTTCATCAAGAATGAAGTTACATCCTCGTTGGTGATGGATTTCTTGTTTAATGGGTTACTCTCTCTTGATTCCAATACCAACAAAGAAATACATTCAGTTTCACAACTCCTCAAGGATGATTTGACTCTTGAAGACGAACCTAAGAAATAGAGAACAAGTGGTGCCAAAGAATTGCTAGCTCCGATTGTTATTGTGGAGAAAGATGTGTTTTTTTTAGCTGATGGTGCGATGTTACTCCTAGAGAAAGCTGTTCTTGAGCCATTTCATGATGAAAGGAGTCCTCCAAATCGTATGGAGGTAAGACTCATGGCGTGGAGAAAGATATCGTTTAGATTTTTTTTTTGTATTGATGGTCTTTTGTTTTTGTGTTCTTTCATGTGAGTTCAGGTTGGTAAGGACGAGGAGAAGCTATTAACTGAGCATGCTAGAAGGAGTTTGGAGGTATTTGTTCTTCATCATCTCTTCTGCAACAAAACCGAAGTTGCATATAAAGAACATGTTGCATTGAAAATGCAAGAAGAGCTTATTCGTGAAGAAGAAAACGATCTGAAGAAAAAAAATTAAAAAGTGAAGAATAAAGAAGCTATATTTGCGTTGTTGTCAACGAAATTTCAAGTGTTTGATAACTAGGCCATATTGAAACTGTTTTCACTTTTTTAGTATCGAATAAAGAAGCTATATTTGCATTTTGTGGTTTATTTCATTTTATTAAAGGTCTTAATTTAGATCTTTGTTGACAGAAACTTTCGCTGATCTTTTCTCTTCTAACCTTCAAACAACAAACGAAACAGCAAAGTTTTCAGAACTAGTGATTAGCATAAAGCAAAGAGCAGATTCCAATAATAATAAAATATTCGGTAAAAGAGTCATTTACCCTCTCTGCAAAACTGTGACTATTAGTGGCTTGACCTCTTCTTGCCCTCATATTAATGCTTCTTCGCTTTGCAAGCTCTCTTTACTCTGATCATTTTTGTGTTTCTTCTGGCTCTGATCACTTCCCCTTTGAAGGCCTTCTTGATATTCCACCACAGCTTTCGTCAGAAGTCTACATTAACCCTGAACGAAACTCAAAAGCAGGGAAAATATAATCCGCAAACTGGATTTCCACAGTAACTTCATGATTTCCCTGTAAATTAATCAGCCATCATAATTTAGAGGCATCAAATTTTGAAAATGTATGTAGTGTAGTAGGGTAAATGGCATCAAACCCCGTGAGGATCAGTGGCAGTGGTCGCGGCTCGTTCAAAAGAAGATGTACTAAATTATCTGTATTGTCTACAAGACAAGATCCGTTTTGAAAGATGATGTAATAATGCTGTACTAAGTTATCTATTCAGATTTGAATTTAAATGTGTTGTGCTTGAATAATGTATCATAACGTACTAAGTTATTTGGATTTTTAAGTAGATTGGTGTTTGAATATGCATGTTGTGCTTGAATAATTAATTTATTATAACATTTGGTTTGGATTGTTAAGTAGATTGCTGTTTAAATGTGTTGTGCTTGAATAATTAATTTAGCACAACATATGTTTGCGGAGGAATAGGAGTCCATTCTTCTTCTTGATTTCAGTTTTTTTTAATCATGAGATTTTATTAAAAATTGATCATAAGATATTTTTTTGTAATTCCTCGAGATTATACCATTTATATTGTTTGTTAAGATCACATAGAAGACACAGTCGAAAGAAGAATAACATACATTTGAACAGATTTAATTATAAAAGTATACATTTGAACAGATTTAATTACAAAACTATGACAAACTATATCATTTATATTATTTGTTAGATCACATAAAAGGCGCAGTCGGAAAAAGAATAACATACATTTGCACAGATTTAATTATAAAAGTATACATTTGAAAATATTTAACTACAAAAGTCAATTTATTATAATTTCAATAAATATATTGATGCAATGAACAATAAATTCAATGTAGATTCAAGATTTACTATGCGGTTCAAAAATAATAATTTTATAAAACTTAAATATATTTTTCTTTATTGTTTCTAATATATAGTTATTATAAATTTGTTATCATTACAAAATAATTCTCTGGAAAAATTATAGAAATACAAAATTTCTCCTTTCATTGAAAAAATTCATAATAACAAAGCTTAAAAATAATATTTTTTCTAGTTTTATTTGAAATTCTTTCAATGAAAAAAGAAATATACTTTATATTTTTATAATTTTTTCAAAATATTCTTTGCAATGAAATTTTTTTAATTGACACATTTTGAAAACAGTAAACAAGAAAATATATTCATGTTTTATCTTATTTTTGTAAAATCGTCTATCCTCAAATCACATCGTAAATTTCGAATCTAAATTGAACTTATTGTTCACAGCATCTATAAATTTGTTAAAATTTAGATAAATTATAAATATACAAAGACTTCAGATCTACACTAACTAAATAACAATATTCATATAGGAATCAAACACTATACTATGAAGAGATAGTAAATGCATCACATCACATGACATACATATGCATATAGACACTCGTGAGTCAATAGATATAAAAACTAGAAAGGATTACAGACACCGATTTTTTACACGATTTTGAGTAACTCGAAAGTCAGGCAAGAAGAGTGCTCATTGGGACACTTTCTTTCCAATGGATCTGCTCATACTCGTAGCCATATTTTAAAGCTCTCTGAGTTTTTTTTTTTGTTGATAACTGAAAGCTCTCTGAGTTTAGAAAAATAATTATGGTCCCAGACATTATAAAGTCATTTGGTTTTGATAAACGATAGAGTTTAACAAAAAGCTCTTTATCTTGATATGGAAAGAAATACTATATAGTCAATGTGTTTTAATATTTTTGACATAAATCTGTCCGTATCATTTACAAATTTGTAAGTTTCATCTTTCAATTTGGAAGTAAACTTAATATTTCCATTTCCATTTCTATTTCTATTGACTAGATAATTTTTTTAGAAATTAACTTTCTTGTAAAAATTAGGGTTTACTTTCATACTAAAAAGCAAGAAAATATGGGGGAAAAGACTCAATCGTTACATATTCAACTACTACTCTTCTTATATGCAATCGTTTCAATATCACTTTTTTACATATTTAGGATTCATTTTTTTAACCAAAAAAGAGAGAACTGTTTTTTGCCCATGTGCATTAGTAAAATGAGTTGTAGTAGATGTGAACGAAGTCAAATCAGTACTGTTCTTGTTCATATAAACATAACACAGCAGTACACCAAGGCTATAAAATGATACATGTACAGTAATACATATATATATTAATTATACAGAGAAAGAACAAAATGTTTACATAACAGTAAACGGGTCAATCTTCCTTGAGACTATTCTAGGAAGGAGTCTTGAGAGACAAGCCAAGATCTCTACACAACTCTTCATCTGGCTGCAAGCTTCCAGGGATTGCACCAAAAGCTCTTTTTGAAGCTTTAAATCCAGACGCCAAGAAATGAATATACGCAGACATGTCCTCCAATTTTTTTCCCACGCTCATAGAAGACGACGCGAACACACTTGTCTTTGATAAGTTGGAATCAGCTCTTGATAATCGGTTAAGATCTGAGGCTTTTATAAACCGTTCAGTAGCAGCATCCCATGAAAGTTCATGTCTTTGTTGTTCTGTTAATTGTGATGTTGTTCCCCAAGAGCCTTGAGCGTGGCTCTAACGAAACCTTTTCATCGTCAGTAAGTGAGCAATTACTTCAGCTAATAGCTGTAAAGATGTTTTACCTTGTGGCAGTAAATGCCAACAACCCAATAAGATATTTGAGGAGAAAAGCTTTGAGACGACATTGTTTCTCTCTCTTTACGTATTCCAAGTAGTTGGTGTGTACAATCCCTATGACGTAGTTGAACTTGTTTTTCCATTTTTTGCCATGATGAAACCAGGTGCGATGCTCAGGCTCCTCAAGGACAGCAATGTCTGCCTCTTCATCAGGGATAGTATCCGATATATCTCCAACAGGAAGAATACTTCTTTTGTCTGTTGCAAACTGCAGTAAGATCATTTGGAATACTAAAGTGAAATTAATGCATCATAATTAACATGGCACATTAAAAAACCAGTGAAAAGTTAAACTCATGCTAACACGTTGCATTAGAGATTAACAAGATAGACATACATGCATGATGGTGCCAAGGTAAGCATTTTTCATCCTCACAGATTTGAGTCTAAAGCAAAATCTCTGTGTCTTTGGCTCTTAGCATGTTGGTGCCAAGGTAAGCAATTTGAATCCTCATTCTACCGAATTGATTGCTTATTATAAAAATTAAAAAAATTAAAAGTTTTTTATTAGTATTTACGATTTAAAGAGTTGTAGTTAAACAAATATTTTTTTTTAAAACGCAAAATTTATTGATAATAAAAATATATATAATATTTTTTCTTAAAATAATTTTATAATATTTTAAATACATAATATCTAAATAAATTTAAAACTTTTTTGAAGTAATATTAATTAACTTGTGTTTGCTCCAACATTGATATTCATTAATAAGATTTTTAAGCCAAAAAAACTAAATAATTTTTTTCCACCACTAATCTTATATATTATTTGAGAAGCGAGTTTAATAAAAAATGATGATGTGTTGTTAGGAGAAGAAAAATTAGTGTAAATTAATGATGACCTGGAAATATGACATGATAAATTTTCTAAAATAAATAACTAAAACGAAATAAATCTCATTTTCAAATAAGAAAAAAAAATATTATATGAATGCATTCCCATTATATACCAACAATTCGAAATTATAAATAAAACAAAAAAATCGGATAAAATAATAAATCAAAAGTATCCTTTTAGTAAAAAAGAAATAGAAGTAAAAGTAAAAATAAATTTCTATGACTTTGGTTTTCTGTAAAAATCTCGGGCTATATATTTGGTTTAAAGAATCTCCAACCCATCTTTATTTTAAATTTTCTAATTTAGAAAAAAATAGAGATGTTATTTTTTTCCTTTATAATTGGAGAAAAAAATAACAATCTTTTTTTTTTCTTTTGTCAACAGCCTCATGTTCCTAGAAAAATTCAGGAAGCCTAGTTGGTGGAATTGAGTTAACATAATTTAGATGTTAAAGGTAGTCTCGAGCACTTCGTGCTAACTTGTCCGCCATTGTGTTATGCGCGCATGGTATCTTTGAGATTGAAAAAACTTTAAACTCCCTTCTATTCTTCTCATATTCCTCCAAATATACAGAGAAGGCTGGCCACTCCATTGGATTAGACATCATCTTCACTAATTCGGAACAGTCTGTGACAAAAGCCACCTCCAATCTCCTAGCGTCAAGCATACAATGCATTGCCCATATCAATGCCTCCAACTCTGTATGCAAAGGTGATAAACTCCTTCCAACGTTCCTCATTCCCATTAACATACCCGTTGTTCCTGCTTCCTGACTAAACCACCCCAAACCCGCATTGGGTTTATCTTGTTTCCAAGATCCATCTGTGTGACAAATCACTCCGTTGTACACAAAAAACCTATCTTGTGTCCCACATGGTATGATTACCATTACTTCATCAATTTGTGCCTCATCCCAAGCATGTGCTTCCGCAGTTGCCAATTTTACTATTTATCGGGGGGTCCAGATCAATATTTGAGAAAATCTTATCATTGCTCATATTCCAGATATACCAAATAAGCCAAGGATATACTTTCATGTCTTCATGATTCAGAAGATGTCAAAATAAATTTGCCATATTAGAAAATAGGGCATCCATTGGAAACCAGTGCAAAGGTGTGG